AATGAGCCTCATCCGAAAAGATCACTTTCTTCAAAAAATCGGCATCCACGGCCTCTTTTCCTTTGACCCATTCGACGAAATCTCTTCGTTATCCGTGGTCCATCGGTTCAAGTTCTTGAGTGAGGACAATCTTATAAGCGTGTAGACCCAAGTCTTTGGTGAGAATACGCCATGTGGTCATCCTAGAGAGGCCAACTTGTTGAGAACGTCGACGAACCGAGGTTCTTGGCTCGTCCTCCACACTTTCACTCACAGCAGCAATATTTTCGTGCGAGCGGGCCGTTCGCATACGGGTTGATGGTTGATCGTCTAACACAGAGCAAGTACGCTCAAATTTCTGCACCAGGCGACTGATGGTGGACACATTTGGTCGATTATTTCGGCCGAAAAATTCACGAATTGCACGAAACGTATTTTGCAAAATAGACCCATTTTCGTAATGGGATTTAACGACTTGAACGCGTTGATCTTTACTTAATCTTGACATGGTTATAAATGTTATAGATGGACGCTTCAAACTGACATTCCAGTTTGACAGATCGGGGCATCCATCATGAAATCCCTATTGAAAAACTTTTTGCGTCCCTATTGGGACACCCTTTATTTGTATTCTTTAAAATAAACAATATTTTGTTCAATTTTTTAAAGCTCAAGTAATAAAATGAAAAAAAAGTGATAGCAGCGACCACGCAAAACCATATGGCAAAGGTAAATAGTTGCCGAATAAGATACGAATCAATGAAAAAAATCTACGAAATTGACAGCCACTACAGGAACTCAGGCTTTTTCGCGAAAAAAAACTTTTGAAAATATGAAAATAGCTATACCTATGAATCTGTGCAAGTTTTTTTTTTAGAATAAAATTGAAAAAAAAAAATCATTGCAATATGACATATACGTACTTACTTGTTTTTATCGATCCTCTCTGTTTCAGCTAAATTTCAAACCGGTCGTTCATTTGTTACGAATTTCGCATGTATATCATTATTATTTTAGGCACGAATTTTTCTATCCAAAAAAGAATTCAATGTAACAAAAAACTGCAACACTTACCTATTTCCTAAGATTTAATTTAAACAGTATTTAGCATTTGCAACGAAGAGAATATTTGAAATTTAATATTTGGTTCACGCACATACTGTGACGTGTGACGTACTTTGCATCATCGTGATTATCATTTTTATTTTTGACAAAATCATTTACTCAAAGAACACCGAAAGTCGGTACTGAAGGAATTGAACTACGTATTTATATTGTAAGGGAGAATTCACTCATTTGCGTCCTTCTATTTTTTTCTAGCTTTGGGTTTCAGCTCAGTTCAAAATAGACTTTTTAATCGTTGTTTTCTTTTATCAAATACCAGAAAATTCATTTCGCTCTAAAAATCTCAATTTTTTTTTTATTTCAACCATTTGCATATCGTTTTCCTCTAAAGAATAACCAAAAGTTGTAGCTTACAATACAATTTAATTTTTTTAAAAATGGTAATAGAAATTGAATCATAAAAATGAATGAAAATGGGAACTTCGATCAAAATCATACATAACGAGGCTTGTGATAAATAATATTTTGTTCGTTGTGCGTCAAACGTGAATATCTTTTTAAAATTAATAATAGTTGATCTCTTAAAATTTAATTCCATAAGGCCAGTATGGTGATTTTCTAGCATCATACATAGCAACTAATCGTTGTCCTGTATTGAATGAATCCATAAACTGTTTCTCTTCGTTTGTCAGTGTGAAATCAAAGATGCTCATATTCTCGATCATTCGTTGTTTTCGTACTGATTTCGGTATTGGTGTAACACCCAGCTCGTGCAAATATCTCAGTCCAATTTGTGCTGGCGTTTTATTATATTTATCGGCGATTGCCTCAACTCGACCGTCATACATGAATGCTGGTGTTTTTGATGCTGGGCTTGGATGACCTAACGGGCAAAATCCAGTGATGGCAATGTCACGGTCTTTGCAGAATTTCGTAAGTTTCTTTTGGCTAATTGTTGGCGAGCACTCCACTTGATTAACAACTGGACGTATCTTAGCGACTGTCAATAATCGAGCAATTTGTTCACTATTGAAATTGGATACTCCGATACTTTTGACCCATCCCAACTCAACCAAACGCTCCATCGCTGTCCATGTGTCGATAAAGTCGACATTACTGAAATTAAATCGAAATATGAGAATTCAGTGTGAATGACAAAACATTGTGTATTTTACCTTAGTGCACGAGTTCCATCTGGATTTCGCGGCCATTGTTCGTGATCATTTTTATACGCGTAACCAAAGGGGAAATGAATCAAATACAGATCAATATAGTCCAATTGCAAATTGTTCAAAGATTGACGACATGCTCGTTCTACTTGATGTGGTTCATGGAACGTGTTCCATAGCTGCAAAAAAAAGACACAAATCAGATGGTTTGAACGATTACAACCATGGATAAAATATTCACAAGCTGAGCGATTATTTTTCGAAACTCTTCTCCGGTGGACAATTGAAAAGAAATCACTTGTAATTTACCTTTGTCACAATAAACATATCCGACCGCTTAACAGCACCTTCGGCAATTTTGCTTCTCACTGCTTTCCCAATGGAATGTTCATTCTCATAAGCCCAAGCGGTATCAATGTGACGATATCCAACATCGATGGCATCTTTTACTGCTTTTTCTATTTCACTTCCACTTGACTAAAATTCGAAAACAGAACACGAAATTGATCATTTTCAACCGCTTTACTTTCTAATTGCAATTAAATTCTTACCGCACAAGTGCCAAGACCAAGAGCAGGCATACGATTGCCGTCATTTAATTGAACAAATGGAACCGCAGACATTATAATCACGCTTTATTCTCAATGAAGTACTAATATTCAAACAATAAATTATTTTTTTTTTACTAAAATCTCTTTTTCCTTCCAAAAAATTACACAAAATCTTTGGAATTACAAAACTTTTCCTTTCTCTTACAATAACAGATTTGAAATCAACAACCAAAAATCGCTGTACGCATCAAAAACAAACTCTCAAATAAAGCTACTAGCGATGACAGATACGTATTTATACGATAGTGTGCTTGTGTATCGTTGAAGGAGAATGGTTCGTCAAGTGTAAACGAAAGTGAGTCACCGAGTTTCTTTGGGTTTTTCGCTCTTGCTATAACCGAAGTACGCTTGTATATATGCACAATACAAACACGATCGGATTGAGTGCTGACATGACGTCACGGCCGATGACGAGGTGGGAAACGGCAAAAACGAATCTAGAGCACATGCTTTTGCTGACTTATTGGTATTATTTTTTCAGTGTTCACATCATTTTATACTAGAACATTCCTGCGTTGTGTTTGAACGCACACCAACCAATGTCGGTAGATTTCATAAAAACGATCAATTTATACATGTTTGATGTGTCGATAGAACCGGGAAAATATTGCCTCTATTTGCGATTGCAATATCAATAAATTAAATTCCACTTATAGTAATGAATCGATGGCACGGTGACCGGTGAGTCCATCATTTACCCAATAAATGAGAACAATTTTATTGAAAAAAGAATTGTAATTTACCATTGAATCAATTCATCAAATATTCTCAATCCATTCATTCAATTGGATCGGCCAGAAGATCCATATGAAATGGATTATCGGGCAAATTATTAGGTTAAAATGATACGACTAGTGTTTGTTTAGAATAGCACATCATTTGAACGAGAGAGATGACAAGTGCATGGAAACATTGTAAACATGGTATCAAATTGATGTGCATGTATTGTGGCGTCTCAAACCATGCTACACACATAAACCGCAAGTGTGTATTGTTCTGCCGAACGTCGTCCGAATGGAACAGCGGCGATTAATGCGGCTTTTTAATGTTTCACTTTTTCTACGCAGATAGTAGTCGTCTTTAAGTTACCGAAGCGTAATTATTTTGATTGCTCTTCATTGAATATCATCAGTGACAAGAAACTCAATTCCTTGCGCTATTTCATTATTACGTTAATCGTTTTTGATTTTCAACGGAATTTTTTCGGCAATCGTTTTTTTTTTCTCGCAAAGAATATTGAACATGGCAACCGTTCCATCGATCACATTGAACAATGGATTGAAAATGCCGGCATTCGGACTCGGCACATACGGGGTAACAATAAATGATTTGATTTCTAAATTGTGTCGTTGTAATTTTTATCGCCAAATTTTGAATTGACAGTTTTTCAGTTCGAAAATTTGCCAATAACTAATCCGATTCATTTTGATTTTAGTTGAAAGGTGGCGAAGGGATTGCGGCAATAAAGAAAGCCATTGATATCGGATATAGACATTTGGACACTGCGTTCTTGTACAACAATGAACAAGAAGTGGGCGAAGCGGTCCGCGATAAAATCGCTGAGGGTGTTATCAGTCGTTCAGACATGTTGGTTGTCTCAAAGGTATGACTTTATTATTATCAGTTGTTTTCCAACAATTTACCCACGGACCGTGGGCCACGGTGCAAATTTGGAGAATTATTATCATATTGATTTATTACCATTTGATGTTATTTCGAATGATATCGTGATAATGAATATAGTTTGTTTGCCACTGTTGCTAGCTTTGGTGCACTTTCCATGAGCCCGAACGTGTTGAATATGCGTGCCGAAAATCGTTGGAGAATTTAGAACTTGACTACATCGATTTGTATATTATGCATGCTCCAGTTGGGTTTGTGTATCATGACGATGAAACCGTATGGCCGAAAAATGCAGATGGAACCCAAGAAACAAAGTATGTAAGATATAAGAGTGAATTAATTTTGAGAAACCTTAGAAACAGCCGCAAACTGTTCGAATCGAAAGCATTGCGATTCACAGAAAAGTGTCTGCTCTTTCTACTTTTTTCTCTCTTCTCTCTCTCCCCCCTTGCTTGCACAAATCGACACAGACATAGGAGAAGAGATAGTTCTATTTATGATTACTATGAGGACAAATTGTTTGCTTTATGTAGTGGTTTGAACGTGTAACATTAATTAAAAGTTGTAATCACCAACAGCGATGTCGATTACTTGGAAACATGGCGTGCAATGGAAAAATTGGTCGATTTGGGCCTGGTGAAGAGTATCGGTCTATCGAATTTCAATAGCGAACAAGTGGATCGTGTGGTTAACGAGTCTCGAATTAAGCCCGTTTCAAATCAAGTTGAATGCTCACCCATGCATAATCAGAAAAAATTAACGGCATTCTGTAAGGAGCGTGATGTGGTTTTGGTTGCATACTGTCCATTGGCTCGGCAACAGCTCGATGCACGAAAGGAAGTCCAAGACATTGCGGCCAAGTACAATAAAACACCAGCTCAAATTTGCTTGAGATATTTGGTAAGAAAATCAATATTCATTATTGTGTCCACTTTGTAATTTAATACGTATCTTCATTCATTTGAAGGTGGAATTGGGTGTCGTCCCGATCCCGAAGTCAGCGAACGAAGAGCGTATTCTGCAAAACATCAGCATTTTCGACTTTAAGCTGTCCAAAGAGGATATTAAAGCGATGGATTCGTTGAACACTAACGAACGTATCGTCAAATTTTCGGATGCTAAACACGCCAAATACTGGCCATTCGGCCTAGAATTCTAGTTAATTAATGATCCAATCAATATATATCTATCTAATTCAATGTTACAAATAAGAACAGTTACAGCCTTTTATCACTTATCGGTTGCAATTAAACACGTTCGCGATATGTCAGTTTCACTGTCCAATACCTTAATTACAATAAGTTGCATTAAATTCTTATCACGATTTGAACCGCCAACAAACTACATCGTTTCGATTCACATTCGACAAATTGAATTTAGTTTTATTCGGTCTGCGAGCCATACTATTTGCAACAGCGTATAGCACTGCACACTTTTTGTTGAAAAATGGCGAAATTTGCCGTAGAGAGAGCGCTTTCTTATGGACATTCCAATGGGGAACTGTTGGCGCCCTCTTGACGGTTTTTTTGATAACTAGTAGTGTTAGACGCTGTTGACTATTTGGGTAGAATTTAACCGGTTTGCAAATCAAATCGAATGCTATCCAACATTGAACCAACGAAAAATGATTGATTTTTGTCGAGAACGTGATATAGTTGTTATCGCATACAGTCCTCTGCGTCATCCATCTCCATTAAAACCGCTACCATGAGTTAATGAAATTGTACAAAAATATAGCATAACAGCGACGCAGATTTGTTTGAGATATTTAATAGAACTCGGCACTGATCCAATTCCAAAATCGGTCTGTGAACAATATTTACGCTCTAACATTCATATGTTTGATTTTAAATTAACACCGGACGAAATTAAGGTAATGGACTCATTTAACACTGGCGAACATTTTATCTATATGTGGAATTTTCAACACTCCAAATACTGGCCCTTCGCTTTGGAATTTTAATTCGATTTCGAAAAACCAAACAAAAACTTCTTTCTGTTTATTCCAGAAAAAAAGTTTCAATTTTTAGGTAATAACAAATTGGCCTACCTTTTTAAAAAGATATGTATAAAACATATAAATGCATAAAATATAATGTCGAAAAATGAGTTCAGGAAATTACGGAAAAAATAAACAAATATTTTACGAATAAAAATTAGTACAATTCGCGCAAGTATTGGAAGATTATATATGTTGATGATTTTTATTGCACTTGGAATTTGCTTTGATCAATCGAATTCATTTCACTTAATGAATGATAAAGTCTCAGACAGAATCGACATCAGGTAGATAACATTTTTGGAGCTTATTTTGTTGAGAATTTTTTTTTCAATGTGATTCAAAAATTACTAAGATTAAAAGTCAATTTTTGGCTGCGGAGATTCGGTGAGAAGACTCTTGAACGATAGTATTGAACAGCTGAGTTTTGTCGATGAATCAGGTGAATGTATCAAAAACATCAACCGATTCATTGAAAAAAAAAATACTTAAAATGATTCACAAATTCATATAAAACACAGGTTCTATTACTGACGCTAACGCGTCAAATATTTAAATATTTTGAATCGCTATTAAAAAAAAAAACCAGAAAGAAAATCCATCGAAATGATGATGAAATGTACACTGCATACATGTTTTTCCTTTTTATTCCAAATAAAATGTTAATTCACGTGTGCACATTGAATTCAATCGTGTTTTATCAACAAACAAATACTTTCTCAAAAAATATAAAATATACGCATGAAATATAAAGTTGAAAAATGATTTCGGGAAATTAGACAGAAAAAAACAACATATTTTTACGATTAAAAATTAGTACAATCGATTAAGTAATTTACAACGCATTTTATATTACTTAAATAAAAATTTGACAATTTGAAATTGTTATAATTTCTTGGCACATTGAACGAAGTTAAGTAATATTAAAATTTGTATGCCGAACACAACGAAATGACAAATTGAAAAAAAAAATCTATAATAATTCGAATAAAAGTTGTTTATTGTAAAAGGCACTTATTTTGGCAGCAAAATGTTCATTCTGCATTTCGGCACTAATTCTGCATTAAATATATCTCTCTGATCGTTATCTCTTCTCTAGAACTTGTGCGGTAATTGTTTACTTTGTTCAGAAATGGAAGAATATGATAAAATATTGAATTTCATTTAGTGATTTCATTCGTTTCAATTAGTTTGGGTGTTAATTAGAATCATGATGCTCAACAATCAAGTTCGATTAACCATTTAGGCACAAAATAATACATTCACAACAGTTCATTTGTTAAGTATTAATTTCATTAGTTGCTACATTGCTGACAAACATTCAATAATGTCGTTGTTTCAAAATTTAAAATAAAACATATGTTCCCTGGAGTGGAGCTGACTTGTGCAATAGCGATACAAAATTCGTGCGATTCTATCGCTTCATTTTGTCTAATATAGGCACTATCATGTCGAAGACTGGTCGCTTTCCTGGGTCTTCATTCATACAGATATTGATTAACTTAGAGAAGTATGACGAGGTGCCGGGCGGTACTTTCAATCTTAAGCCTTCAGTGGCGATGCGCATACCACATTCCATCGGTGATAAATCGCCGAATGGAATTTCTCGTGTGCTCAATTCCCAAACGCAAATGGCAAAGCTCCACATATCGCACGCTTCCCAATTACGATCGCCACGTTTCTTCTGCAATGCCTCCGGTGACATCCACGCCGGTTGATACAAACGACCACGCTCTTGAAACGAAAACTTTGCATCGCCCATATTGATACGAGCCGTTAAATCTTCGTCAATCTGCGGAATAATGATACAATTTCAAGCGATCTTCTTAGTGCTTGTATTCATTCTCTGACTTACCATAACATGGAAACTGTTCAAATAATATTCGGGTATGATGCGTTCTAATGAGTGTAAAAAGGCCATTCCTCGGGCGATATCCAGGGCAAATCGAACTGCTTGGGCTGTATCAACAACAACACCAGCTGCACCATGGAGTAAATCGTACAACGATCCTCTTGGCATGTACTGTAAATAAATAAACAATCAATAACTATCTCTTTTCAAATAAATCACATTTTTAAGCCAAAGTTTTGTTTCTATAGATCCCAGTTCAGGGAAAAAAAATCTACAACAAACTCGATTCAAAGTATCGACAATTTACCTGACTTATGACGACTAAATTTGGTGGTGAATTACAGGCTCCGATGACTGGCAGAATGTTTGGATGTGAAAATATACGAAGTTTTGGGAACTCTTCATCGAAATCACGTGAAATACGTGCATTGCAATCGCGAACCGACAAAATCTTCGCCACAATGTCATTCTTTTGCCAGCGTCCTCTCCAAGTGTCACCGGATGGTGTGGCTGCAAGTTTGGTGTGTAGTTCCAAATCACGAATATTGATTCCCTTATAACGGGACAGAGTAGCGTCACGCGAACGTGTTTTAAGCCCAAGCCAACTTTGATCTTTGAAACTGATCTTCTTCAATTCTTGTCCACTTTCAATGGCCAAATCGTGCAAACGTTTTGCCAGCAATGGTTTGGCTTTGTCCAATGGCGTGTCGCCGTCCTTATTGGCAATCGAAACAAGAGCACCATGATTGACGAGCTCCTCAGCAATGCCTTGATAGCCCCAGAAACAAGCATAATGTAATGGTGAATTGCCATGCTCATTGGTGGTGTTCACATCGGATTTATACTTCAGCAACTGGAATAAATGGAATTTTATTAGATTTTCCATTAAATTGGGTAGTTTTTTTTTCCACCAAAATCGAGAGAAATGTCACAAAGATCAGAAAAGAATCCACCTACCAGCAACACAATATCCAAATGGCCATGTGCAACAGCCAAATGCAATGGGATATCGTCTCCCATGTTGGTGGCATTTACTCGAGCTCCGCGCTGCAGAAGCATTTCGACCAATTTGGTGTGACCTTCTTTGGCCAACCAATGCAATGGACTGAATCCATGATCATCACTGCAAAACAAAATTAATTAATTGGCTTTCATTCGGAAACAAGTTCATTTTCACAATTCAATTCGGAAAAAACCAAACATATGGCATGAATACAGTTAATCGCGATCACAGCACCGTTCAATATTTGCTAATGTATCGCATTTTCATCGAAATGAAAAACTATCATCCCACATAGTATTTATGTTGAAGATATGGGTGTGACGTATAGTTTTGCATGCCATTTATGGCACATAATACACGAATCGTGTATGTGTGTAATGAACAAAGAAAATTCAATAAATTTTCCCAAAATGCCGTGTGGAAATTGATATGGAAATATTAATATGGTTTTACCCTTGGTTCATATCATGCTCAACATCGTCCAACCACAATCGCACTTGTATCGAATTGCCTTCACGGCACCAATGAAAAATATCTTCCATTTCTTATGGGCACTCTGCTCTGCACTGCTGTTTTTTCGGAACCAAATTTACCAACGGCACTTTGGATTTTTCAATTTAAACCAATGCACCGATCAATCACACCATTAAAATAACCGATTAATGGAAGAAAATTAAACGAAACAAATCGAAAAACACAAACAATTTCGTCACACATTCACAGAACTAAGGAATGAAAAGATAGAAAAAAAATTTAAGCAAAAAAAATACCAAAACAATGACAAATGAATTGAATGTCGTAATGATCTTTCACAGTGTTCATTCGTAGTCGTACACATACACACGAATACACAGAGGGCGATTCTGACAGTTCATCCAAATACATATGTATATATATATATATATATATACATATGTATATATATAGTCAAAATGAAGGAGATGCGTGATATGTGTGCGCATGTATTGGTGTGCGTAGTAGAGAGACATGGATGATGACAATAAATCTCAGTGAACCGTCTGTTCGCAGCTGAACGGTGCTTTATGTGATGTTACCAGACAATTGTTTGGTTTACAATTTTATTGACAAACAATATGTCAATTGCTAATTGGTTGCAGATAATTATTATTTAGCATTCTGGAAAATTGTGTATTGTACACAGTGTTTGATTGGTTTATTAAAATTGGTGCAAAGAAGATGAGACAAGCACCGTTAGAAATCGTTGGAAATTGCGGTAAATTCAAACTGTAAACCAGGACCAAATAGAGAGAAAAAAATTGATTTTTCCCAGGCTTTTCACATTTGAAGGATACATCTACCACCGTGTATATAAATAGTAGAGTCAAATAGGCATTTCAGTATAGTAACAACTGGCAGTGAAAGCAGTTAGAACATTCCATTGTTCGGAGACGGAGAAAAGTAAACAAATTTGTGCGTCTCGTTCGCATTCAAATGTGATAGCAAAGAGAAAAAAGGAAAGAAAGAAAAAAACAGGGAAGAAAATAATTTTGTTTGTTTGATTTTGTGATTTGTAAATTGCAAAAGGAATCATTATGTCCGATTTGCATTTAACCGAATCCATGTATCCACCGGGATGGGATGTCAAGTACGATATAAAAACGGGAAAGTGGTAAGCTATTATTGAATTATCATGTTTAGTATAATCGCATTAACATTTGGGATTTCTGCAAATTGTGAAAACTGACACCGTGTTCGGTTACATCGGCTAGCTATAAATTTGGAGTAGCGATTCTCCAAAATGGCGCAAATAACCAGTTGCCAAGTAATAATAAAATATTTAAAGAAAATAAAAATGTCGAAACATACTGTTACTGTTCTATTGAGTGCAAAGTGTTTATCCGTCGTCGTCGTCGTCATATTTATGAGGGTATGTTTACGCATAACTCTCGCTGACGCTCTCTGTCGTCATTGTAATGCCTTCTGTAGTGTGCTCCCGCCGCGATTTCAACGACAAAACCACTTATGCAAATGCTTGAAACATTTCTCTCTTCGTTTACAATCGCATATTTCCCTTGTGGCAAAACAAAAGGAATGAAGAAAAAACTACAACAACAATTCATCGATGGCAACAATTTTAGGTGCCTCATTTGAATGCTGCTTCACACACACACACACACACACACACACACATGAACTCAATTCAAATTGTCCGTCACACATTTATCCACATGTGTGTTGTATATATTTTGATTTGGCGAAAAACAAAAACCAATTAAGTTAATTAAATCATTTTCACAAAATCACGATTCAGCTTCGACATTGAATGCCACCGTTTTCATTCGGATAATTTTTTGTATCCATTCCCACGTCGTCACCAAACACGATGATAAGCGAAAACATCAAAGGGTCGCCTTGTCGACCGCCAGTAATTTTGCGCAGGGGTTGCAAAAGAGATTCGTTTTTTTCTCTCTCTCTGTATGGCACGTCGATGACTCTGTTGCATAAGAAGTGGCGCTTTAATTCAATGATGATATTCATGATAAACGATCCGTATGAACAATGATGGAACACTTTCTATTCTCTTTATTGGGTCAACGATGCACCGATATAGCGATAATTATAAACCTCCAGAATCTCTTAAAACTTAAATGAGAATACGATACAAACAACGGAGAAAAAAAGTGCTGCATGCTTCTCTTTTGCGTTCACTCTCTCGCTATGTGTGTCGTTTGCAGCATTGCGAACACTTATCCTGCCTGCCATAGATGTGTGAACGTGAGTGCATGTTTTTGTGTGTCGGCTTTGGAGATATGCAATGCAGTGTGCCTGTGCATTGCATCGCATCACATTGAGAACGTGCTTCGGCGAAGTAGAGTTTGCGTTAAGTTGATGTCGTGTGCAATGATATTTGGTTGTTGTTAAATCAAGGACATAATTAATTCGTCATCTGTGCTCTTTCTGTGTGTGTGTGTGTGTATTTGCATCAGCAACAGTAACGGCAATATCATCATCATCATCAGCAGCAGCAGCAGAAGCTGCAGAAATAGCAGTGGAAGTAGCATTAGCACCGCGCCACCGTGTTTCCTTCATGAAGGCCATCAACAGGAAGACACACCGACCAGTTTTATTAGTACGAATTTTGATAGGGCTTGTGTGATTTGCTATCGTTCGTTCAATTAGGTGGTGTGGTGTTATTTCTTCTGCATTTTTTTTCTTTTGCTCTTCACTTCTTTTCGTTCACTTTTTGCGAGAGCCTGTTAAACGATGAAAACATTTTACGCTGGCGGGCGTGTTCACTTGTTTCATTCTTTTGTTTAACTGAAGTTGTGCTCTTTTTTCTCTCTCTCTCTCTCCCTCTCTCTCTCTCTCTCTCTCTCTCTCTCTCTCTCTCTCTCTCTCTCTGTTTGCAGCTACTACATCAATTACTTGACAAAAGCCATGCAACTTGAAGATCCTCGTATTCGATATCGGCAACTGCAAAATGAGCATGCATCCACCGAATCGATTCCCATGCAAACCAGTTCACAGGTAATCAAAATAAAATGATACAATTTTCCCATTATTTCCTGTTCTCTTTATTTTTTTCGTTTGAGTCTCTATTACACTGCCATCAATACATTTTGTCTTGATGTATCCGTTAAATCGATATTGAATTTTTTTTGAGCACTTGTATAATTGACCATGACCCTTCAAGAATAAAACAAAAAATTCGTACGTCACCTGAGTTGAAATATTCGATTTTTTTTTTTCACATACACGTATCGTATCCATCGTATACATATCTAAATATAACTAATGTTGAACACGAACGTGATTTTTCTACTAGAATCCTTAAGGGTTTTATTTTAGAATCATCTGTCTCTTGTTATTTGAGAAAAACACAATTTTGTTATGGAAATTGTTTATGTCGAATGTAAAATTTGTATCTGGAATTTAAGTTGTTGCGGGTGTGTGTATTTAAGTCAAAAAAAAAAAAATTCGATTTGAATACGACAAGCGAAATAGTAATTGATAGTGATTGTGGGTGTGTGTGTGTGTGTATGTCGAAATGCGTTAGTCACACATATCACATGTAATTCAATTTGTATTAATTAATGTAAATGTACAAACAGACATGTTTTACGGAATTTCAGCCTTTGCATGGATCCCCATATCACGTATATCCCATTAATAATCATCCACCTGCGGTTCAAGCATTTCAAGCACCGAACACAGCGTCACTGTATAATGTATCAACCAGTCCGCTATTAACAAATAAATTACAAAAAATGGTAAGCTATCAATCGACACAGGCACTCTCGCTATTTATATATATCTTGGAGTATCTTATATTTATATATTTGTTTTACGTTTTGTTTTACATTATTATCGTTCATGTTGACTACGCTTGGTTCAATTTAAAGGGTTGCACGCACTCAAATGTAATGAACCCGAACGGTTCAAGTGTTGTGTCAATAACAAGGGAATCAAATTTTGCGTCTCTGAACTGCCCAATTTTGATTGAACAAGCAATCGATTCAATCATGTTGACCAAAATGGGATTGTAACAAGAGAATTTCAAACGAATCGCAACGATATTGAAACGTTAAATTTTAATTTGCGTAGGCTTTTTCATAACGGCGATTCATTACAAATGATTGCGTTACTTTGAGCTGTGCTGTGCGTAGATGTTGATAATTAACTTTTTGCGTTACTTTGACATGTATTTTGGTTTCATGTATACGCACAAAAATTAAATCCACCATAAACATTTGCCATTTTATATGTTGTTATACAATGAATGTTCTCGATGAATGAATAAACAATTGGTTTCGGTCACGATTTAGGAAATGTCACCGGTGATGCGAATGGGCAGTCCAAACATATCGAGAATCATGCAGCATTTCGACAAAACCAGCCAAAATGGTAGCACTTGTGGAAATTACCAAGAAACATCATTCATTACGCAGGCCGACACCGATGCCGCAGTGGCCAAAATAAATACAATGTTTCCGACGGCAAGCGATGCGCATATTCGGCTGCTGCTAAAAAAGTAAGTGTGACTGCTACATACGTGACTACAATGCATAAATTATAAATAAACTCTAGCTCAATTTACATACACATCATCTCTACACATATTTTGAAAGCATTTCTCGGTGTAAAAATTGTCTACTATATGAGTATCTATATAGAGCAAATGGTAAATGTGTAATCGATGCAGGTGGATTTTGTGGCGACGGAGGATTAGATGTAAAGAAATATTCTGACATATTCATATTTCAATTTCAATTGGATTTCTGCCACTTCAACTGAATCAATTTCACATTTGCTATACACGTGTTTGTTCCCAAAATGCTTCAGCCAAAACAAAAAACAACTACAATGATTTCATTCATTTTAAATGATGTTTCACATTAAGATTCATGCGAACACCTCGAAAGATTACAATGGATGTGGATTAGTCTTTCGGGAGGTTTTGCAGGAGTCTCATGTACAAACTAATATATATTTATGTATACTAAAATGTTTCTATCGTGTTAACAACAATCTCTCTCTCTTTTACACACATACACAAACACACGAACAACACACCAAAAACACACAATGTTTTTTAAAAAAAAATAATGCTGCCGCTTTTAACACACACACACACTTATTACACCGCTCTTGCTCTCTTTCTTGAATAAACTAACTGAAAACTGAAAATTGCCTGAAAAAAAAACTTTGCTGTATATAACCGTTATTGCCATAAATGACAAATTAAAAATCAAAAGATATTACAATCGCGAGGCTGTAGTTATATCTGCTTTGCAAGTGGAAAAGCATCCCTTAACGACGCCTGGCCCGTACTCAACACCACCATTGCCACGGCATCCGTTGAGCAAAAAGCATTCGTTGATTACAATGACTCCGCCGTTGAGTCGATTCGAGCCACCAACATCTCGAACAGCCAGTCCGATTCCAGCTCGACCAGCAAGTAGCTGTGCTAGTGCCAGCTATGGTTCGCCACGTGTTGGAGAAGGATTCCGATGCTCACCCAAACCACATTCATCACCAAAGATGAAGCTTAGGTGAAATTCTTCCAAATCACATACTCCGCAACCAAAAAAAAAAACACAGTCGGAGTCGCTTTAATACACTTGAGTTTAACCGCTTCTCGTTCTGCTTTTATTTGACATATTATTTTCTCTTTGTTTCTGTTTTTTGATTGGCCATCTATTTTTTTCAGTTCGCTTTGGTTTTGTGTGAAAAAAACAAATGCATGAGCACTTTTGATTTTTCATTATTATTGTCCATATATATGATTTCTATGTGTACCCTTTTTTATCACAATGAATTTATTTAATCCGTTCAACTTGTCGTTTGATTTAAGTCGAGGATGAGCCAAAGTAACAAGTGATTTCCCTTGCAGATACTTGAAGAGTATTTATCCGAAAGCCGAAGAAATGCTTTTGCTTGATATATTAGCAAATGCTGACAATAATGTGCAAAAGGCTTCGGAAAAGCTATCGTCGATGGGCTATGAAAAACGTGATACAACTGCACCCAAACCAACAAATCGTACACGCGAAGAGCAAGTTCTAAAGGAGCGAATCGAAAGAGAAAATACGCCTCCGCTACAACCAAGATTAAAATCAAATGAAGAAAAACAGAAAAGTACGTGGGTTAACAAATTTAATCATACGCCTTGATTGTCTTGATCCATATTTTATGAACGAAATTTTATTTTTTTTCCTGAATTTCAGTCAAAAATCAGCTAAAATCCCGTTACAAGGATGTTGCCGGGCGAATCATTACAATGGCGCTGGATAGTGTCGATTATTCGGAGGAGAAAGCAATTAAAATCTTGGAAATTGTGATGCAAGATGACAAAGTTGCAAAAGAGGAGATCAAACATGAAGTGAATGAAGATGCATCGGTGGAAAATGACACGGCTCCACCGCAATCAACTTCACAATCAGTCCCAGATGTGGTGGATCTTGAGGAAAGGTATGAATTTTGTATTCATTTTTGTTCGATTTACGAAATAAAATCGCCAAAATCATAATAAATCAAATGCATCGCTAGTACGAAAACGCTTTGAAGCCTCTCACACCTATCTTTTGCTTCCGTTTCAATCGTTGGGGAAAATCCATATTTATTTGCACAATATCACATGACCTAACACATTACAATTCTATCTGATACGTTCACAATTTATGATTTCGAGAGAAAAAAAGTCATAATTTTTCCCTCAACGATTGGAACAAAGAAGTAACAGAGAATCTATTAATATCATTACATGTTGTGGCATCAAACTCCATGTGGGCTGAACGGGGTTTTGTGCGCGCTTGTTATAACAACATAATAAATAAATCTTCATAAATTCAATTTGCTTGATTTTATTGTCTATCTAATCATATCTAATACTAATCATTTAATTAATGTTACGCCTCAAATTGTTTGTTAGCAATTTCGGAATCTGTTCGACCATATATCGGACAGATGGTACGAAGTTAAACCGATCTATCGATGAACTTATGTTGTGAACATTTTTGTTGTGGAAATTTTCCGGGAGGTTTGTCGATTGCGATAAATCATCTCTTAATCACACATATAAAGTAATCCAAGCCACTTCATTTGTCACCGATTCTATTTGCGAATGTCTCGAGGGTATCGAGGGCATCATATATATAAATTTGTTCGGCGCGGGCATTCAAAAGCGTTATTTTGTACATACATTTCTCACGTTCACACATTCACACATTCACATTGCATTGTTATTATTTTGTACATACGGAATATATGCAGCCGCAGTGAAAGCACAACTTTATCCACCGCAATTCCAAAAGACGATACAAAAAGCACTTTAGCACAGGATGATGAAAATAATTCCGATCAATGCGTTAAAGTTAAAAGCACGTCGAAATCGTCGCCGGAATCATTATCATCACCATCCGACCTTGCAATCACTCCAACCAATGCCAAGATGTATCGCTGTCGCTTTAAGGCTAAATCAGATCATGCAAAGTATGGAAAAACCAAATGCTTATTTCTGTTCTCTTTCTTCCTTTTGTTGTTTATAGTTTTAGTTTGGTGTTCTCCCTCTCCCTCCCTCAGTCTGTGTATTTCTAGCGATATTGTTTTTACGGGCTCAACGAAATGTTCAGTGAATCAATTTCTTTGATGAACAATGAATGCATGAATCACTGTGCATTTCGATGGGTTCTTCTATTGAAATTATGCTTTCAATTCATTGAATTCATACGTATCAATGGAAATCATGCTTATACCATGTTGCTTATTGATTTTTGTTTTTATTGATATAGTGATTTGAATTTTGCCGTTGTACACAGAACAACACAAACAAATCTCAATTCAGAAATGCTTTATCGAAAATTCATTACACTCATTCAGTCGACACTCATGAAAAGATATTGAGATTTGTTGCATTTTGAGTTTGGTCTGAGCTGCATACAGGAGGAAAGTTGAGATTTTTGACTTTTGATTCAAAAATTTAGGCATTAATCTTATGTATGCTTGTAGACGTTAGTTGGAATATTGAAAAGTAATAATTGTCGATCCATTTGTGACAGGCCAACAATCCCGGCTACACCTATCTCAAGCGACAGCATAGACAATAGCGAATCGGATAGTAAGCCAACATTCAAATCTCCATGGAATAACAATAAACTATCCATGGGCCCGAGTGTAAAGGCAGCAAAGGGGCCAAATGAAGATTTATTACTGTGAGTAGAAAACAAATCACCTTCGTATTGAAAAAAGTTAAATGTCATCAAATTTTGATTAAAATCCATTTCCACAGAGCCGATTACATTGCATGGAATGGAGCCAATTCCGAGATATGCAAGGGAACTCGAAGTCTTGCCAAAGGAACCGATCCAACATTGCGTTCGAATCGATTAATTCAAGCACAAGGTTCAAAGAGTGAATTGTGCAAAGGGCCAAGTGCCGGTTTGGCCAAGGGCAGCATCTATGCGCAACTGAAAATGCAACAAATTGCCAATGTGAAATGCAACTAAATCTGAGCACGGCCGGCCAGAAAACCAAAGACGAGTCAACTACCAATATGATGGTAGTACCATTCGGTCCATTTACATTCCGAAATTGTGATGATGTTGTCATAGGAAAAGATTTATGTTGAAGAATAAGAAAACTAGGGATACCAGCAACCAGAGATAATCAAATCAAATTAATTAGCCAAATTTCTAGTTAATAACTAACAGAAATAATTTTAAAAATTTAATTAGATATTTGACAAAGTCCTTCCTCGTGTAAAATCTAAATGTTTTTTTTTTCGAATTTTATTCGTGTAAATCAATTTTCGATGTTAAATTGAATGTTCATTTTGTTCGGAGCAACAAAAAACAAAGTAAACTAAACCAAAATGACAAGAAGAAAATTTTGCTGTCGCCAAAATCGCACTCATCAACTTCCACTTTTAGACGACATTTTATGAGGCAAACAAGAAACTAAAAACAACGATGCACACGACACTTACACACACATACACACCAACCAACCCAACATTGTCCGAGCCATTTTTCTTTGGTCGCAACTGAAAGCAAAGTGATTATTTTTAAGTGAGACATTTATTTTGTAAGCAATTTGATTTTGATGTACCCTTCATTTGATATAAGTGATGCTGAACAACGATAAGTTGCGACGTTTTATTGGAAAAAGCGAAGAGAAAAAGAAAATAAAAATGAATAACGAATCTCATTGCCTGCATCATCGCAGTGTGGCAACATTTATTTCAAGTATTAGGGTCATATTAAATCCATCCAGAGAAGAAAAAAAAGGAGAATCATTTACTTCATCATCTCTCACACATTTCATTTGCCCGCCAAAGTCATTTTACCTTAGGTTTGAGTTGTTGGCGGGCTAAAAACAAAAACAAAACAGTTTATTTCTTAATTAGACAATGTTGTAGCATTTTCTCGAAAACAAACAAGTTTTGTGAACAACATAGACAAATAAAACATACACCAAATGCGTTTTATTCTGTTTCCTTCGCAAATGTTTTTTTTTACTTCTTTTTTTTATTTCGAGTTTTCCAGCAAAACACATAATGTTTCGAATTTGTTTAAAGAAAAGTTTTTTTTGTTCTTTTTCGATTTTTCAATAAATAAATAATAGGTACTACTATAAACGTCTATTAATGTCATATTTATTTCTTTTTATCATTTTTTTTTTCGATTCAATTTTTAGTGATATTTTTTTTTATAATAACATTAACCTCTTTTTTTGTAATTCTTTTGATAAATTTTATAAATTTTGATTTTTTTAAAAATAATAATTGCAGAAAAAACGTTATGGAAAATATTTATCAACAACAAAGCAATATGAAATGATTGATACAAAAAAAAATGAGACATGCGATTTTGTGTTTGTGTAATTTCTGTATATACACCATGAAAAGATGAAATTGTTTAGTGGTTAAATTGGCTTTGACCGATGCACTAGATGAGCTTAGTGTTATGAATGATTTGTTTTTATTTCACGTTTGTTTTTATGTTTGTTTGTTTCTCTCTTTGTTCTTCTGAATGAATTTATAGAAAAGATTTCACTAGCAACGAAATTCCAGTAAACTGGCGTGATTTTTGTTTTTCTTTTTGAAAAATGACATGATGTGCAAGGTTTTTTGATGACATAAAGTCGGATGTAGATTCAATGCTAAACAGATATATCAAAATCTATTCGGCTAAAAAAAAAATGCCCGCTTCCTTTGAACAGCTCATTCTGTCTGACGTTCATATTGTTTTGACTGCATTATTACTCTGCAATTGCTCGAATCCACTGGTCAAATTCGATTCAACATTTACGATGAATAACTCTTAATTCGCCGAATCATGGCGCGAATACTGAAATTTTGAATGAAAAAAAAACAACAATAAATTACGTTAATTCAACATTCAAAAATGATCATTGAATCTTCGAAGAAGAAAGGTAAAGGGGAAATCCCAAGTTAAAACTATTTTTCTCCGATTACATGAAATATTTTTTGATTGAAAAAAGACAGCAGCAATACTCACTCTTCGGAAGACCTTGATGATTCTCTGGATGTTGAATTTAGATATTTATCCAACTCTTCAATGATCCCAAGCTCTTGTAATCGGGATAACCGCTGCGGTGTATTCAAATCACTTTTCTCAATGAGATTTTTTATTGCAAACATTGCACCTTCCTGAAGTTTCACATCCTTGTGATTCTGCGATGGGATGAGAAAATCACCAAGATGGTATTGATTACGGTAATTAATAATGAATTATTTTTTGAACAAATAATTTTCAACGATCAACAGATAAAATTTTGAATTAAATTTCGATGATGCTTAGTGTGGACTTACAATAAAATCGAATAATTTTTTCAAAATCCGTTCATTCTCCATGACATAGTCAGTAATACCGGCGCCAGCAGCTATATTTCCTATAATACACAAGGCTTGTTCTTTGATTTCGGGAGTGTGTGGCGACTCAAGCACCGTGATAATCTGTATCAAAGTAAAGAGTACCAAAATTGGGCCATCAGAAAAGTGTTAAAAATTCATCAAAAAACAAAAAAATCCAAAAGTCAAAGAGAAAAAAACATTCCAACACACACCATGTGCATTAGTTGATCCGAGTGCCCTGACATTATGTTATCTATGTCGGTCGATTTGCTCATCAGATTCCGCAACAGTCCCAATGTTTTCATAATCACGCCCGTATCCGAATCGTTGAGTAATTGAAATATCCTATCAGTGCCGAGTGTATTAATAATTTTGGTTTTAATATGTTCCTCTGTTTGAAAGGTCATGTTCATGAGTGCCCAAACGCCGTTCAGTCGTAGCGCTAGCTCGGAATTCTGTGTAAGTTGACACAGTAATTCGATGGCGCCTAGTTCAACCATGGGTTCTTTGGCCGGTGAGAATTCTAACAATAAGTTACAAATGGTCGATGTTACTACGGTCAACAGTTCGTTGGATGGTGAACCAGAGGAGAGTGCCATTAGCGGTCGCCAAACTAGGTGGTCCTGAAATGTCGTACGCAATTGTTGCACCGACCGTGACAGCGAGTGCAAACAACGAACGGCCGCCAATCGAACATCGGCACACGGATCACCAAGACCAGCAAGCACCTCTTCCATGATACCGTCCTTTTCGATGATGCGCTTCCGTATTTCCTCATCATTTGCGCCGAGCGATGCAAAGCATCGGAATGCGCCTTGACGCGGTGCAGGATTTGAGCATTGCAATAGATTGCTTAATGAATTGATTAAATGATTGCTTATTGCGGCGAGTCGTTGTAGTTCGGAATCGATTTCGGCCAAATAGGCCAGCGTTTCGGCGGCCGTTGCCCGGATATTCTCTTCAAATTCTTCTGTACAAAGCCGAGCCAAACACGGTAAAGTTTTGTAAACGATTCGTGAATCAGTCGAACTCAATGAACCCGAACGATGGATATAGGTTAAGCAACGCGCTGCCGCTATTTGGATCTCAGGAATCCTCGCTCGTGATGTCAACGTGCTCAAAATGTCCGGAATCGATCGTTCTTCGTGACTGAAACAACGACACATGAAATATTTGGGTTAATCGAAATGTAGATTGAAACCGATTGGGCCATGGAATGCTACTCACTTTGTTACACACACTATATCGGAAACGTATTTATTTGTAAAGCACATTGCCGCCAAACACTTGAGTGCAGGTATTTGCAGTATCGTGTATCGTGTTGTTATCAAACGAGCTAATAATGGGATTGCACCGGCCTTACACAGCATCTTCTGATCGATCGAATTATGACAAATTGGAACCAAAATATTCGCCACACATGCCTGACATTGGATCGTGTTCTCTGGTGATGCCAAACCTATTTTGCAATGCGCGCCAAATGCGAATATTATCGAGATTTTCCAATTAGAAAAAAGAAACACACACACAATTGTAAATGAAACGTGTGTTTTATTAAACTTACCAATCAAATAGCTTAGTGTTGACGTGGTATTAATGATTTCTTTGGGTGCAAATGGATGTTCATAAATCGAACGAACTACACACAAGCAAATCTCCATGAGATGCTTATCAGCGTTTAGGTTAGTTACTATTTTCAATAGAACTTGTATAAGGCCAGCCTCAATCAATGATCGCACATTATCGTCGGAACCCTTTGAAAGTGAACCTGCACAACGAAATTTCGATGGGAAAATGTAAATTAGCTCACAAAACCACTTAATTCTCACTCTCTCTTTGCACATGACGCATCGTCGGGTGTCATACTCACCAAGAACGATGGCTGCATCATATCGAATTGGTAGCGGTGTACTATCTTGTGACAATAAAAACATAAGTCTGGGTACAATCCCTTGTGTAATGACTATTGTTTTCTGTTTATCACTACCGATGACGATATTTTTTAGATAAATTAACGAATCCTGGATTTTATTGTTATCATCGTCGCTATACAAATCGTTAATGTAGGATCGAGAGCTGTCAACATCCTAGCAGAAGAAGAAGACACAGAGATAGACAGAATAAAAATAAACAAACACATAACACACAATGTGGCAGATGAAATGAAACACGTATAGTTTTAAAGTAAACTCGGTCGCAAAAGAAATTGCGATTGATGACACACAACGGCAACAACAATTACATTATATAACATTTCCAATAATTAAAATTGCATTGGGCCATTCACTGAATCGATAGAAGTGATTGCCACTTCGCGAACAACACTTTGCACGGTTTTGTTTATAAAATCACACCAAAATGAAGGCAACAATGGAACATTTCTTTCCTCCTCGATAACTGTGTCTATTTTCTTTTCTCTTTTTTTTCATCTGTGATCTGGGGATGCAATTCACTTTTGTATATATTTTGATGATGATGATGATGATGATGTTGGGAATGACGGCTAAATCCGTACGAGTAAAGTGAGGTTACCCAACCACTAACCAAAAATGGTAAAAAACACAAACGAAATTCACAAAAATGATTTCTCATCCAATATACATACCATAAAACACGTAAATGGTTCCATAATCAATAGCTAATTTGTGGCTCCTACGATTGTTTTTGTTTTATTTAATTCTAATTTTATGCGACAGCGCAAAAAAAAATTGGTTGGATTTTGATGTTATTTATCTGTGAAGTACGTGTGTATAAATAACAAACCTATAGCGGCGCTCCGAAAATCTCCACATACGTCGAACCTTCAAAAATGCATTGTGCACATTGAGCGATCCTTGTCGACCACATCTGGTCGTCTCTTTCGCTCATGAGCGTCATAAAACTTCAATTTTAGCGTTTTTAGTTCATCTTTGTTGACGCTGTCAGTAGCGTCTACAGTTGCCTATTCGATGAATGCATTTTGCTCCATGGATTCTGATTCATTTTTTTTTCTGTGCGTGAAATCATATCATCTGGGGAATACCCATCAAAAGCAATCGTTTGTGCAGTCATTCATTGGCCAAAATTCGCATTGACCATGTCGATTGACGAAGTGGCAGTCAAGTGGCCTACGTGATTTTTTGTAGCTTACCTATCACACCTATTCGATATGATGCATACCAGCTATCGCTAGATGTCACCACTACAATTTATTCCGTTGAAAGTGTACACAAACCATTGTTATTTATATGCTGGAATCGGTTACGGCCAAAAAGTCTCAGAATAATCCATGTATTCACACAAATTCAATCACTGCTAACGGCACAAATTCCACAAAGAAAACTTCTTTTAACTTCATTTTTCTTTACCATTTTATTTTTTTGTTAATTACCCACCTAATGCTTAATCACTATCACCACCAACAAATGAAATGTATAACATTTCATCAATTTACAATTCAATGTCTGAAAGAATAAAGCATACAGTTTTCTCGATAGAATTTCATTCGATCCGCTTTATTTCTGTCTTTGTTTGAGTGTCCATTTTTACCGTTTGAATATGCAAATTTTTGAGTGAAGCATTAGTACGAAATGATCGAAATGTAAATACTCTTGAATCAGAATGTAAATACTTTTAGCGCAAAAAGGGAATTTGAAGCGAACTTTTTTATTTAATGAATTAAGTATATACTGAAAGTTTGTTGTGGACCAATCGATTTTGTGTATTTTAGTGCAATAATATATATATATATAAGTAATGTAGATTGTAGATGAATATTGTTCTTGTGACTTGTCCATAATTTCTGTCTTTTCTTTCATTCGGTTTCATTTATTGGGTGTACAAATGAGTCTTTGCCGTTTGTCAAAAGATGGCGTCAGCAGTAAATGCTGGGCAAAAGTCACATATCAGAAACGTCATATCGGAAGCTTAGACATTTGTCAACAACTCCTCATCATTACATTTGTGAATTCCCATCAACATCGTAAATTTTTCAGAGCGTGAAAATGTCCGAATTTGTGCCTAAAAAACATCATTTGCGGGAAGTGTTACTTTTCTTTTTTAATTCGAAGAAAACAGCAACTGAAGCACATCGAATGCTCGTAGAAGTTTACGGCGAAGCCTGTATGGCCGAAAGAACGTGTCGTGTATGGTTTGAACGCTTCAAAAGTGGTGATTTTGATATCGAAGACAAAGAACGTCCTGGCGGCCCGAAAATTTTGAAGATGAAGAATTGGAGAGATTGCTCGACCAAGACTCGTGCCAAGCGTAAGCGGAACTTGCACTAGCATTGGGAGTGACTCAACAAGCCTTTTCGCATCGATTAAAAGCATTGAAAAAAAAGAAAGAGAAAAAAAATAGAAAAAAAACATTTAATATATCTACCGAAAATAATTGATGCGTTTGAAGCGGGCAATTGCAGAAAAACGGCCAGAATGGGAGACCAGACACGAGTCTTCATTTTCCATCATGGCAATGCTCGACCACATATTGAGAAATCGGTTAAAAACTATTTGGAAAATAGCGGATGGGAAGTTTTGCCCCATCCGCCGTATAGCCCAGACTTCGCTCCTTCCGATTACCACTTATTTCGATCGATGCGGAACGCTTTTGCTGGAACACGCTTCTCTTCAGTCGGAGAAGTCAAAAATTGGGTTAATACATAGATTGCTTCGAAAGACGAGAAATTTTTTTGGGACGGAATCCACAAATTGCCTGAATTGTGGTCAAAAGTAGTGGCCAGCGATGGATAATACTTTCAATAAAAAATAAGTAACCATTTTATCACAATAAACATTCAAAAATTAAAAAAAAACGGCAAAGACTCATTTGTACACCCAATAGGTCTATTAAATTATTGTACATTGATTGTAATAATATTGCTTAGTTGTCTAGTGGAATCGATGTGTGTGTGTGTGTGGCAAGAACATTTTTTGTGTGGATATGTTTTCGAGTAGCCATAGCCTTTTTGTTTCATGCATGGAAATCACATAGAAAATAAGGAGAAGAAAAATAGAATTTAAATTACACAATGTAATTCATTTCGGATTTATTTACAGTAGTTGTAGAAAGACTTGTATGATTTCTTTGCAATTCAATTATTATCTAAATAACAATCTTATAGATTTTTTTAAAGCGTTTGGTAATTTCCGTTCGTAATGCCTAATTCCAATGCCATGCTTACTGATAAGCGTTACTTTTTCTCGAAAAAGAAAATTTTGTGCCTTTACATTTTTAAATGACGGATAAATAACCGAAAAAAAATAAAAACAATCAATTTTTTCCACACGAAATGTGGTGATTAGAGGCCGATTTTGAATTCCATTTTTGAATAATAAGTAGGTCCATAAAAGAAAATGCTGTCATTCAACCGACAATCAATTCTGAATTGAATTGGCTTAATTTTAAGAAAGATTCCGCGATTGGTCTGCATTCGAATGATCGAATGTTGATGGTGTTGCCGATTTGTTAATTTATTGCTGTTGTTTTGGTACTAGCACTTGTGAAATACCGGAGAATACTTCTGCTTGTATCGGCCCATATTCGATTGGTTCACCATCAATCGTGAAATGGCCTTGTGTTCCAGACGGTTCGATGCGAAATGCTGTCACAGGAATCATTTCGATGTATTGATTTGGTGTGGCTGGAATGTGCGTACCAGAGCTCATGCCTATTAAAAATTTGAAAATCTCCTGTCGCGATGCACCGGCTCGAATCACCATCATCCAAATGATGCCATCGTTGAGTTGTGACAACGGTGCCAATTGGCAACCGCTTGCGATATGTGATTGATAGGCAGCATGTACCATAATAAATTCACCCGTTTCAGTGGTCCAATCGGTTGGTACGGGTGCCGTTAGTGCTGGTATTGTTGATGCTGGCCCGTACATTTGATTTGGATGCTTTGTATGATCATCGTCCGTTTCGCTGCCATACTCGGATATTTGATCGGCTACACTTTGATAAATACTTTCCGTGGTGGAAAAGTATGCACTCTTCCTTGAATTTGCCGAATGCCAACTGTCCAAGCGTGGCCGATGCGAAACGGTTGCATTATTATTGAGAGCATCACTAGCAGCTGTATTCGTTTCGAATGCAAGAATATCACCAAATGCCGAGTCACACGTCTCACAATCACCCATACCATGGCAGT